GGCCGAGAAGAAACGTTCACGACGTCACAAGAGGACAAAAACGTTCCCCAAGAAGGCAGACGATTGCAAGGTCTGCGATTCTGTTGTCGAACAAGCAGACTCTGCCTTCGAATGCAACTTTTGCAAGCGATGGGTACATTGTAGATGTGACATCGGGGTACCAAAAGTATATTATGATTTTATGCGTAAGAATCCATGCCCATAGTTCTGGTACATATGCCCAAGTCGCCGTCCTGATGCAGACTCGTGCAGTTCTTTGAAAGCTAAAGATGGTGTAGAGGTATCAGGAAAAAACGTGCAACGTTCTACTCCCACCAGCTCGGAAAACAGCACAATTGCACGTAAATCGGGGATACCAAAATCCACACCGATTAAACTTGCAATTCTTGTCATAACCGCTCCAGACACAGAGGCTGAAGCACCATGGGTATCTGTCTCTGGAAAAAGACCCTTATCGTCTGCCAGTAATAGTGGCCACGGCACTGAGACACACAATAATATCCAGTCGCACCAGACGAAACAAAACGGTCTTAAAGGGGATGACAAATGTGCGAGGACCGAAACTAAGTCCACGGTTAGTAGATCAAAATGTGTAGTCCTCTTTAATGTACCAGACTGAAAAATATGATGCAGAATAGTGCAAAAAACATCCGTTCATCCGTGTGAAGACGAGAGTATCTTTCATTAGGAGATCTCACACATTTCTATTCAATATAATTCTTTGATGAGTGAAGCAAGTTAATGTGAATTGTATATCGTAAATTCTCTTACTAACTTGTAACAGTAATATGGATATGGCTAACTAATGGTGTATCTGCAGGCACCAGTGTTGGAGTATACTTCTAAAACGCTAATCTTTGACCATCCACTCGCAACTTTGGATTCATAGTCCCGCATTCGATAGTCTCCAATACTTTTAATCTTATGACAGGGTAAGAACATGTATTGCGTTTTCTGAATTTGTTGTCTTCTCCATCTTTCCAGACAGTAACGCCTGCATTGGTGTGCATCAGCCATTCCTGGCACTCATTAGTAATGCCGCTACGTCACGCTGCATATCTTTAGCTTTCCGTTACCAGTCGTTTGATTTTGGTGGCTTTACTGAGGCGATCTTTGTGCTTGACAACTGTCTGACTAACGTTTTCTAGTTTACGAACTTTCATAGGTTGTGCAGTGGTAACCAGTTGTATTCGCTAAGAAATGTATTCTGGAATAATCTAGATAGTCTGAATTATTATTTTTTTAATTATTTTTTGATTACAGCTTGATGCCACACCGTATTTTCAGTACAAGTATGGCATTTTCAAACACACATGTGGTTTGAAGTGTTGAGAATCGGTGACCGGTCTTTCACAGATTGCTGAAGCACTCTCTAGATTTTGTTGAGGAAGACGATTATTGCAGCAAAACACATTTTGTTCCAATTCAATCTGAAAAGATCTTAGTCAGTACATTGAATTGTAGTACACGAGAAATTTGTTCCGACAGTGCAACTGAACAACGAATGAAGACACTGAAAGATATTTCATGTCGGAAGGGATATCCTTAGATGTTTATTCATAAATGCTCTAAAGAAATGAGCCCCCGTGAAGCTATCCAAAACAGTCCCGAAGAAATTGGGATATATCAATATCTCATTCAGTGAAGCTGATTTCAGCGAAGTGGTCAAACGAAGACTAAACAAATTTGTCAAGAGAACTTAATTGTACTTGTGACATGATACATTTCGATGCCAATTTTAATATCTCGTAGTCCCTTGTCGTTATCTATTTGAACATGAACTGAAAAACATTCTAAACTGGCGTTTATTCTAATGTGGTTTATTTACTTATAAGTTTTCAGTGTAATACAAATGGTATATATATTCGAGTATGTAGAGTGTTCATCTGAAGAGTTCTGTTGAATTTGATGAATACGTTGCATCCTGCTACATCAACTTCCATCACTTGTCTTGAATTCTTATCAGGAGATAAATGTCATCATAGAGCACACCAGCGACAGGAATGGAATACACACAGATATCTTTGAATATCTACGGCGAGGCTGGACGTCTTAATTGAGTATACTGTTGATGAATTCGAACGCGAGCTATTGAATTAGCTATCCACTTAATGGATCACTTCAATTTAACACCTTTCAAGTACTTGTTTTTTGTGTAAATGGTTCTGAACTACTCATATCGGGTAATAGTAGTAGTAGCAGTAGTGTGTGCTGCTGAACCAAATGCTTAATACGCTACAGTTGCCTCTTTTACCAGATGATTTCTTAGCGAAACTGCATTGTCTATAATGTTATTGATTTATTTTAGCATTATTCCTTTGTATTCATGTGTCGTGATGAACGCCAGTCATTCGCTTCGTATGTTACTGTGTTCTTTCTGAGGCTGACTTCTCTCTCAGGGTTATTTGTAATCACCAAACACGCGTAAAGTGCACGTCTGATGCATGTTAACAGACATTGATTACCTAATATCAATATATTATTCTTAAAGCAAATTTCGTATCTTCGTATTACGTGATCTATTTGGTGTACTGATAGTTTATCGTTTTTGTTATTTTTAGATTATTAATTGTGTCACGCAGAAGAGGAATGTGAAGATCGAAAGGTGTAACAGACACCACACTAATGAACGCTTCTCATTAAAAACAAATGATAAGCGTTTCATATTATTTAACAAAATCTATTCAGTTTTATATAGGCCAAGAATGCTTGATAGAAATGTGAACATCAGGAAGATTTTCAAAAAAATGAAAGTGTGTTTCAGATATCTGATAGTAAATTACATTTTCAGGAGTGGACTAGTATATCTAATGTTCGAGTAAATGTCATGAGACGAATAATGATTATTGCCAGTTGAAATGCCTAAAAGTGTCTACACTTTATTCAATGAATAGCGTTGGTGATTGCCGAGTGGTTAAAGATACCATGACTCCAGATTATTCCCATATCTGCCATCAAGTAACTTCAGAAATACTGGTTTCTTTCCGATGAATGGAATTAAGCAGTGTAAGATGTGGTTTGTTTTTGCATTTTTGACCTCGTTGCGGTTATCGGTTGGCACCGGCTTTTGAAATCTGGTCACTGGGATTGTTTGTAATGGCGTAAAATTTATGATCGGCTGGATATATCTCACAGCGATTCAGTATTGTTCACTGGATGACGAAGTTCCGGACAAAAATGTATTATTACTAATAATCGATTATGACTCCGTTACCTTGTTCTTTTCCATTTGTTGTAGGGGCAGTAGAATTTCGCCTCATGAAAAGACGCATGTTAAGTCATTCCAATTGCACGTGTTTTCCGTTGAATCGATAAATAGATGTTCCGTCATCAACGGAGATCTGGCTACTGATGTTTGATCTAGTCGTATTGTATGATTATGTGTAATTGCATGTTGTGATATATCTGAAATGTCTTGATTTCTTGTCCCCATCAAAGGAATCGGATGAGTCTTCGGATTTAATATAGTACGGTTGAATGAGAGATTGATAATCGAGATTGTACGCATACATAACACAAGGTGACGTCCATCGACTAGGAAGCTGCCTAGACTCATACAGGGACATCTCCCAATATATTTGTTGGAAGCAGAAATAAGACGAAGCAATAGTTCAATTCCTGAAGAGGATTATTCTCCCTCTCATACCAGAATGATTGAATACTGAATACTTACAGCAGCTTCAAAAGGTGTTGCGTTGTTCACTAAGTGATGTTAGCACTGTGACTTTACTGGGCCTTCTCCGCACTGCCTCAAACACGTTTCCGATTGTGAGTAGTAATTCAGTGTAAGTCGGATTTTCGGAAGCAGATGAACTTCTATAAGCATGGTGATGTGACCTAATCCCACAGTTTTTCCTGTATATGCTTGGCAGATATTTTCTTTTTACAGGCTGACAGGGAAGTATGCTTTATCGGGAGAAGTGAAAGGATGCTTTCGGAGAATGACTGGATCGGTATCGCTTCTATTTTTGAGAATCAGCAGCAGTATATTGCCAAAGCAACCTGGATCTGTTCAGCAACTATTTCACCTTCAAATCTGTGTATGTCTGTTCAGGTGGGAAGTTAACGCCTCAGCAGGATTCTGTTGAGATTCCTCAGCTTTCTGTGGAAAGACAGTAAGAGAAATGTGAATGTGCAAGATACGTCTTCTTGTTTTCAAATTTCCATTACATGTAGGCGTTCGTAAATAGATTTCCTTGGAGAATTTTCGTCCTTCCTGAGCATTTTGTTGAATTCTGATTTTAAATTGAAGTTAAATTGTTTTGGAGTAACTGGGATAATTGACATTTAAATTCGCATCAGGCAGAATGAATGTCATTGTAAACATTTTAACAAGACTGTTCAAATTTTTTGATTTGACACTAGTAACTAGTGTGATGTGTCTAGTACTCTCTTTAGTAGCTCAGTATTAACGTCTCTGACTGCAGCACTGGATGACGCTGGTTCGAATCTCAGAAGGGACATGAGTTCCTTCAAGGTCGCAGATACGCCTTGCTGACGAGTGCCAACTAGCATGAAACCTGCCGATTGCCTCCAACCATCTAATAAGACTGCTCAAAATCAGATTTCTCTGCTCTACAAACATTAGTCATATCCGAATGTATTATGTTTCGTTAGTGCAACTACTAATTCATTTTGTGCTTTGCGAATACGCTGATCTGTTTGTAGCTACATTCGAGTACCTTTCCGTCCTTGTTTAGCAATGACTTATCTTCATGCCTAGTTCTCATTTTACCTACAAACTGGTAAATGTAAGTAGAAAACTGGCATTCATTAACATTTGTGGTGCGTTATTCCTCCAGTGAAGAAGGGACATTCTACTGTGTCAAAACAAAAATCATCAGATCATCGTCTAAATCTCTGACCAATCAATAGCAAGATGTGAAATCACTCAACCAATAGTTAAAGCAGAATAACCTGGTCATTGATGATTCGTTTTGCCAACAACATTTGTTCCAGTATAAAAGCTCATGAATTATGCTAGGTCCAACGCATCCAATATGAAGATCTATTGCTTCCTTTGTTTGTTCCTGATCGTCGTAATTCATGCTGCAGGTGAGTAATTATCGAAACTGAATATTCACAATTGTTTCCCTTTATTATAATTACTATTTATTTTATTGCAATGATTAAGCCGATATTAAGGGAATTTGTAAAAATGATATTTTTCCATGTAGTTGAATTTTCTAGAAATGTGTAGTTTACACCAAAGTGTTGAGAAAAGCTTTCGAGTTAGTTAAATTAAAGATTGACATAGAAAACCTGAACATTTTACTACATGCGTGAATGATATCGTCGTCACTTTCCTTCGTTATTTCACTTCTTCACGTGTTATATGAATCACGGCAATAAACTGAACAAGTCCTTCTCATATGTATCATTGTAATAGTCATAATCGCTTAGTTCCTTCAAAAATGCACAATTAAAGAAACTGGTGAGGAATACAGTTTCATGCCCAGAGACATAACTGAATAACTGAAGACTGCGAATGGTTAGATTTTAATTCTCTAGGCCAGTGGTAGTTTGTATCGAAAATCTGAGGAACAGTTATCTCGTTTGTTGAGATAAGTTGCCATTGACGATCATGTTTTTTGTCAAGTTTTGTGGGAACCTGCAATCCAGTGGATTGTAGAAGTTCTATTGATACTCACAAGAATGGAAAACACAATCAGAGTTCGAGATTTAATTGATTGAAACAAAGTGAACAAGAGGAATTACAGGCAATATAATGATTGACGTTTTCGACAGGTCTGGTTTTCATCTGGCTACCGGAACATTATCACTTGGTGATACATACATGTAGATATACTTGCAGACCGAATTAATTTCAAGTACAGAGGTACTTAGCCGTCATTAAAATTTGATGATTAAAGCTGCTAGAACCTACTCAAACTATATGTAACGTGAGTTTTCAGTATTGGATGGGGTGTGTGTTGCCTGTGTTGAACGGAATTAAGTTAAAGACTTGACTTAAATTTACTACCCTATCAATTTTACTGTCGATTATTGGAATGACAAGGGTTATTATTAGCATTTTTGACAGTAAAGGCATAGACTTGACTTGAAGTTACAGCTCAGTCGTTTTCAGTATCAATTCTTCGGATAATTGTGACCATTGTTATTTTACCTGACAGTCTACAATATTTTGACAAGGGTGTGATTCCCATTTTATTTCAGATTTGAATCCCCTTGGTAAGAGGTTTGTGTAAGACACATACAAAAAGCAAACAGTGTCAGTTTCCAGACATGCTTAAGCCTAAATCCCAATCACAGAGCTATTCAGCTTTAATTTCCGGGATGTGATCAAGAAATCCACTACCTACTTCCATAAGATTCCAACGAACTTTGAAATATTATGTTTCACTGAGTGATTTCTCACTTTCAAAAATGTTTTTTGAACGCAATAAGAATGAGCGAAGAAATAATCACCTGCAAAGTGAAATTCCCATGCATGTCACTACTGAAATAAAAACAACAATTTTATACAGTACAAACAATTTTACCAAACTAGTCAGGATAAATGTGGGAAAAAATATAAAAAGCAATTAACAAAAAGAGATTTCCGGTTAAAAGTTAATAAAAACCATCACTAGTTAAAACAAAGATTGAAATAAGACAAGATTAATTGAAATATTAAAAGGGAATGCAGCATCATAATTACTTATGTTCATCCAGAAATGAATAATCCATATGCCAACCAAATGTATATATTCAAAACAGTGACATCTGTTAAAAACGTGATTTCCTCAGATGCTAGTGACTTCAGTGTGTGAGTCGTTCCTCTCACTGAAAGTTTTCCAGGAAATAGGAAATGTCGATGAAGTTGAAGAGTTCTAAAAGTTCACACATTGAGTCAGTCCTAAAAGGTTACGGAATGATATCAACACATTTTAAGAAGACATTATTGTCGATTTGATGAACTTATAGCTGTGAAGGATAAACTTATTCTCATTCAGATAGGTTCATTGACAAAAATATAAATTTCGCACCAAGTCAGTAGGGAGAGAGATCCAAGAAAGAGTTTGTTCATGAGACTGTACGATCTGAGTGATAATGCCATCGAAGTGGTAAGACATTGCCTGAAGGGTGCAGTTGAAATAACATTCCGTGCAACCAAGGTGTCTTGTCTCTTCACAACTGCTCAAATCTCACGTCCAGAAAATAAGGAGAACCAATCCTTATTTTTCCTCCTCTATATGTTTTTACTAGATGGACTGCAGTTATGGACGCGGCTACTTTGGGTGTGCAATTAACCTAGTGAATCATCATCATATAACTGAACATCATCCTGTGCGGTTCAGAAAGAGGCAAACAAGATCCATTCGTGGCACGCCTTGTAAGCAGTGAGAATAATGTTGATGTCCCTTGTCGCCCTCTGTCCATATCTCCAGTATATGCGTTATGTCATCCCAACTGCACGTGTGTGCTATTGAAACAATAAGCAAAGCTTCAGTCATTAACATGTATTTCATTACATCTACCGATGTTAATTTTAATTGCTGTCACCCCGTCTCACCTACCCTTTGTGTGATTGCATTGAAGTGAACGCAGTGCAATGTCTGAGCTTTTCGCTATGTTATTTAACACCGCCTGTTCAATAATTCTGGGTCCAGCCGAATCTTATTTTTCAGTTGATCATGATTTACGTCTTCTCACCTATGCTACTTTTAGCCCCAGTTTCATTACATGTTCTTTGGTAAACAATATGATTTTTTGTAATTGGATCTACTGAGTCTCCAAGGTGATAAATTGTACCTCTGAAAGAGTTGGTTGGTTTGAATATCACTTAATTTCAACCTCGATGACAATCTTACGGAATTCCTTTTTTGTACAGCAGTAGAATGGTGTCTTCGAATCTCATATTGTTTCATCATTTTTATTGCTTATCTTAGTTTTCCATTAGTATTTCACATGTTTTGAGCGAATTCTGGTGAGTAGTTATTCACTAGAAATACTTTATTTGTTTGATTTCATTATTTAGATCTTCCGGCTTGTCTCTTGATCGGGGTCAACTAGATTACTGAAAAATAAGATTAGGCTGAACCTGTTATTATAGAACAGGCTGAGTTAAATAACATAGCAAATAGCTCAGCCATTGCACTGCGTTCACTTCAATGCAACATATCTCGGATGCACTGAATGCTATTTCAACTGCACCCTTCAGGCAATGTCTTACCACTTCGATGGCATTATCACTCAGATCGTACAGTCTCATGAACAAACTCTTTCTTGGATCTCTCTCCCTACTGACTTGGTGCGAAATTTATATTTTTGTCAATGAACCTATCTGAATGAGAATAAGTTTATCCTTCACAGCTATAAGTTCATCAAATCGACAATAATGTCTTCTTAAAATGTGTTGATATCATTCCGTAACCTTTTAGGACTGACTCAATGTGTGAACTTTTAGAACTCTTCAACTTCATCGGCATTTCCTATTTCCTGGAAAACTTTCAGTGAGAGGAACGACTCACACACTGAAGTCACTCACATCTGCCGAAATTGATTTCTTGTTATTTCTCATGTTAAAGAATATAGAGATTTTTCGAACACATGGATTGTTCATTCATGAAGCAATGTTAGGATGAATTCTGTTTCCTGTTGTGGAGTTGCTCAAAATACTGATCTTACTTTCCTTGATAGCTATGATTTTGTATGAGCAGGTAATTGCAAGTAGAGCTCAGTTTCACACTGTTAGAATTCTATTATTAAATCAACCAATGAAAATTCCACAAATATTTTCTGATATCTTGTTTTTCCTGCCATTCAATCCGTTTTTTCATCAGACACCGATGTTCAATTGGTAAACAGGAGATCAGCGTATACAAGTAAGTTAATAAAGTATAGCTGAGACATACAATACAACTGTATGCTGACAGAGTTTGACAAAGTAGTCAGAACATTTGGTTGAGAATAGTGATAAATTCAATAGAAATTTTATGGATTGTAAACATGCATATATCTATGTGTCTGCATTAACCTCGTCTAGTTTACTAGCTTTCTAGTTTCCTTGCCAACCTCAAGCCCGAGGAAAGAGGGAAGGTTTTGCCTGGGTCTAGCTACATTACACCGCTAAACCTATCAAACCAAGAGCGAAACTTCAATGCAAAAGACACATTTCAAATACAAAAGCCGCAAATGACAAAAATCTTATTCTTCGCTTGGATTGGAGAAGCGAAATAGCACAGCGGGCTGGCGGAAACTTTTGGGAAACAAATCAGTTTGGCGATGTTTCTTCTCTGGATGATTGTAAGAATAACAATGGGGACGTAGAATTTACGTACAGTGTACGAGACTGGGAAGGCCATGCAAGTAGTGAAATACAAAAAAATGTGGCTCAAAAGTGTTATGTTATTGTGAAAGCAGATTAAACAGATGTGGACTGGCTAAATTGCCAAATGGAGAGTCAGATGACAAACGCGAACACACTATAGGGGTGACTATTTTTATGTCACTAATGACAGCAAGTGCCTTTATGCAGTAGGAACAGATTCCATGCAGTGTCATGACAGCAAGTTTCTACTCAAAAAAAGGACGGTTACAATTATCCAATGCTTCGCACAAGGCTACACACACTGCAGAACAAGAGATGAAGCAGGATTTGTATAGACAACTACAAATAGTCACGGACAACATCCTGAATGTGTACGTCGAAATCCCTATGGGCGATATTTACGTCAGTCTAGATAGAAAGAGATAATACAGGAAGAGAAGTCAGTAATGGGTCGAGAGAAAATAGCTCGGAGAAATGAATGAGAACGGAGAATCATTCGCAGACTTCTGCGCTTTCAGAGATTTGATGATCGGGTCCGGTGTGTACAAGCAAAAGGACATACATAAAGAAACATGTATTTCACCTGACAGACACTTCGTTAATCAGATAGATTCGGTCTCACTGCTGCTAAAAAGAGTGGAGAAGCAGCCTGCAGGCGCAAATAATAATAATTTGCTTTATTCCAAAACAGTACTTGTGATACAGAATGGAATTCTCAGCATTTTAATACAGTGTTGCATCCAGTTAGTACATTATCAATAAATAAAATTCTTCATAGATTAAGGGTAATCTCATTCAGTTTTGTGAACAACATATTGGCATATCGGTAGCAAAGCCAAAAGTGAACAGAATGTGTGATGGTGTTAGAAAAGTAGATAATAGCATATTTACTGGCGTGGGCGGTAACAAAAAGGTCGAGATATACAGAGTGTGAAAGAACGAAGAAGAATGTTTCAATTAGAGTTTGTAAGGAAGAGAGTAACAGAACAGCACACCGCAAAAAGAAGAAAAGGAAAAGAAAGAAAGAAAACGTTGTACCTATAAATGATATGAGTTGGAAAGACGAGATCCAGTTGTTCTAGTGACTATTTGATAAGTTATAGGTATCACGCCTAATGCTTTCTTTATCGCACAGAACACGAGCGAAGTAGGGTATGGTTGAGTTTTTGTACTTGCTAGTGCGAGCATATAGTTTTCTATACAGGCTTCTGGTTTTGCCCGATGAGATGTAGTTTGTTTGAAGTTTAACACTAGGAACAGCTGTACACATGTTTACTGAATATTTTGTCCTCGTTTGAGACAAGCCTCACTGATTCCTTGTAACTTTTTTATTTCTCTGGAACTCTTGCACAATTCAGTGTTCTCCTTCATTTCCATGTGCATTCTGATCGAAAGTCAATCAATCAATAATTCATCTTATTACCTGACTCTTATCCTCTCTAATCTCACTTAAGTTTCAATGAATCTTGGAAACTATAACTGATGAAAACTCATCACTTTGACTACTTTACTTCTATGTGAAAAATATTATTTATACATGAGAATGTACAAGTGAAGTAGATGAATTTACCAAAAACAGCCGGTTCGCTGAAATACGTGTTTTGTTCCAATTATATTACATGGACACAAAGAATACTTTACCCTGACATATGACTAGTAGCGTTCGGTACACATCAAACGATGGACTACAAGTATGCCCAGTATTCAGTCAAAGTATCTTTTTCATTGTACTACAGGCGGTCGAACTTAGGCTTAGTAGTTTAGCGGTAACGTCTCTGACCACAGTTGTGGATTATTCAGTTTCAAGTATCAAGAGTCAAAAGAGGCTCCATCAAGAATGTCGGTATGCCTTGCTGACTGACGAATGTCAGCCAACAAGTATGAACCATGGGTCTGTGTGGGCGTCTTACCGATTGCTTCCAATCATCTAATAATAACAACACTTCAAAGCGCAGCGTGATGACGCGCCACCTCGTATAGCAGAAGAATAATCTTGACATTTCATTATATTCGGAGTGCGAAAATTGCTTAACTGCCACAATTTTTGTCTATCCGATATACTAAGGAGTGTTATTTTAAAATTTCAGATCGTGAAAATATGCTGAACAAGAGTAGAAGGAAATCAAAGAGAAAATCAGGTTAGTACAAAATGTGACTGAAATACTTTGCTCACCTACTTGTGAAATATCGTTTCGGAAAACTGTTCTCTCAATCATTTAACAGGAGATGAAACTGAGTACACCGATATGAGAACAACCACTTGGTCACAGTGGTAGTGTTTAATTCCATAATCTCATTCATCTGTCCAGTTACACAGGCATAGTGATTAAGCATTGGCGAGGAATTTGCAAACGATTTCCTGAATACTGAAATAATTTAAATAACTAAACAGTAAAGATTTAATCGTGACGGTAAGATGTCTTTTTTCAAGATTACTATTAAATAAACAATGTAACATACATATTGCATAAAAATAAGACCAAAACATTATATGTTCTATGTTTTAGGGCGTCGAAGGAAGAATGCAGAGAAGAAACATGTTGAAATCTCAAGTGCGTATAACGTTTAATTTTACATCTGATCCACAATGTGGTCAGCGTGATGTGTGCATATTTGTGAGATATCACATAGAATGTGAAGTTCTATTCACTGAACAGCTGCGTTTTCACAGTAATCCATGTGTATGAGGAGTCTTCTTTCTCATCAATCATGCTAGATATAACTAAAGTTCTCGACGATGTGTGCACTGAGAAATGGTTATCATTCAGCATAAGACAAACAAGGCATACATGCAAGGTAATCTAATATATATATGTTTCAACAACGACGCATCGAGCTCTTCCAGCCACAAACACTCCTAGAAATGTTCAACAGTCCATGAAGTGGACAACTAGAAATAAATATGTTGAGACGTCTACAGGTTCAGAAAATTTAATCAGCTCTACAGGCTCCGCTGCAATCAACTCTCCACTGTCCATGGAAAGTGTTGTCTATGCTTACATATATTCTTCATACTGATAGTTGTTATCAAAGGCACGTTTACAAACATGCATATTCCTGATGGGAGTGCACAAATGAATTAAAGGGAATGGCTTAACGGCATTGTCTTCCATATCACTCATTTTCTCATACTCTGGCTCCTGTATTATTTACTCAACTTCCGGTAGATAAACTGGACAATCTCCTCCTGAGTGCATCACACGCATAAGTGAACACATTGCTCTGATATGCATGCACCTCGACAAGGATATCTCTTGGATGAAATATCTATCGGAAAGAGAGAAGAGTAACCCAGGTATTCTCTCCATGTTAGGCGTTGCAAGATGCGGGTGATAACGAGAACGATTAGAAAATTTCCGTAGTGGACCTAAAAGAAACAAATTCGGGTGTCTGTTCAAAATATTGCAAGATTGTACTGAAGAGGGAAAACGAAAAATCCGATGAGTAAAAATGAAATGCAGCAAAATAATCATGAATAAAAGAATAAAGACAGTGCTGAAAATATTTACAGATAAACAAAAGAATGTATTCCATATAGAAGAAAAATTAAATATCAGGACAAAACCTTAAATAGAAATCGATCGCACTACTAAATATTCACGAAAGATTTGCGTGAATCTTTGTATATTCGTGTATTGCTAACCCGATTTCGCACACTACAGGACATCCGAAAACAACAGAACCGCCAGTGGTGACTTGTAAGTTGAACTGCAAGTTAAACAAACCCTATTGCGACTAACAAATAAGCTTTCTTCTCATGTGACACGCTCCTTGTAATTGTTGTCAGTGACCTGCCATCAACTTGAACTTTCATTCATCTACGTACTTTCAGACTCCACTATAGGTGCAAGAAATCAATAGTGGATACGTGGGTTTCTCGTGAATCGACAACAAACGATCTGTTCATATGTAGCGACAGAAGGAGTTGTAGAATTCAATCTACATTCTGAGATTTGAAATGTCACAATCAATACTGACAACGTGGATTGTGAGCCTTGCTTTCGTCTGTGAGTAGGTAATCTTGCTACTTGAAACACAGCCGAAGAATGTGAGATCATCATAATGATAATGACACCTGTCTCCCGTACAAAAGCTTTGCACGATATGTAGAGTACACGGCATATTGTATTTCACTACAGATTTTCCCATTGATTGGTCTTCCATATGAAGTAGAGACCAATCGCATCTATAAATATTTGAAGGGCTGAAATAATTTGAGTCGAAGAGAATGTGTTCGATCGTGGTGGATGCAAATTCAGGTGGGACGATTATTCAAGCTGGCCAACAAGGGGTGGAGCAGGATGGATATGTCAAATGCACAAGCATACTCAAACTGCATCACTGAGAGATCGTCATACTCGTCAGCCAAGACAAAGCATGAAGTCGCGTCACATCTGCATGTACTTGTAGAATCACGCACGATCTTGTGATTGTGGCAGAGAATGCTTGCAATTTGAAATCCTTTTAATTTTGATCCACCTCCATTTTCTCGTAAATATTTCAGCACCTGGCTCTTGGTTATTTTGTTCTCAGCATTTTCTTTCGACTAATCCTTTCTTGCGATTCAATTTTCAATAAGAATCGGAGGCATCTGTTGACACACTTGTGTCGTCTGTTGGTAATGCTTTAGGTTACCGGCCAAATGTTGACTTATTTCGAAGCACCGACTCCCCACTTGTAGTGAAAATCCGAATCCTGTTCTTTATACTGGCTGAGTGCAGAGGATTTTCGTGCTGGCTTCAGGTTGATGAAGGCCTATCTTGCATTGCCGATTCTGGCTGCTTTTGTCGGACTTAACCGGTTATGCCTGTGGTGGGCAGTCAGATGTCACTCGTTGACGGTGTTCGGTGCTGATTGTTGTTGCTTTTGTGGGTTAGTTATCGTCGTCAATCTTGTTTTCTCTATTTTCACTTGAAATCCTGTCTTCTCTGCAAGTCGTCAAGTTTGTGAGACATTGGATATAAATCATCAGCGAAATTCAGATCTTCCAGAGACTTCTTGTCGCCTCAGCGTATTTCTGTCTCCTCCTACGCCAATCACAGTCTGATGCATAATGGAGTCCAAAATTGATAAAAATATCATCGTTGAGCATAGACAGTTTTGTCTTGCTCCTATAGTCGCTTCGAACGTCTCGCTGTGTTTCCCGTTGTGGATCACCTGACAAGTGCCACTGTCATATGGTCAGCTGTTTAATGGGGTCGATAAAGAATCAGCCACTGGACGCTTGTGAGGAGATGACGCAGAGTTCAAGTTACTTTCCGTCAACTTCGTCAAACGCGATTTCGAAGTCAATGAAATTAACGTTCGGATTCGACTGCCAAGTAGAGTAAATCTTTCCTGAACGCCTTTTTTTCTATTTTACAAATTGTTTGATGACAACGCGTGCAGTTGCTTTGTGAGGAATTCCATCCGGTCACGCTGCCTTCACGACTAAACTTCGGTAGCTTGATCGCATTCAAGGTTTCTACTTTCGTTGAAGGATTGATATCTATTGGTCGGCAGTTATGGGCGTGATATTGGTGGTACCTCTGGGCGAGTTGCAGGTGATGGTCGACTCAAGAGTCCTTCACAGTGATCAGACCATTGTTTTATTAGCTTCATCTGCTTGATAACTAAGTGCTTCTTAGCATCTTTTATTGGTTTCATTACCTGTATGGATCTCTTTCCGGATAGAGACCTGGTTATCTGATACAGTAACCTGAGGTCTGTTTAACCTGTGGTCTGCCTATTCTGCTTCAGTTGACAGTGTGTCAGCGAATTGTCGTTTTCTTCCCTAGCACTCTGACAGGCGAAGTCCACGTTGCTCTGTGTATATCCTTGTGCTTGTACACACCGCATCCGATCATCAAATCTCTGAAAGCGCAGAAGTCTGCGAATAATTCTCCGTTCTCATTCATTTCTCCGAGCTATTGTCTCTCGACCCATGATTGACTTCTCTTCCTGTATTATCTCTTTCTACCTAGACTGAAGTTAATATCGCCCATTGTGATTTCGACGTATCCATTCAGGATGTTGTCCGTGACTATTTGTAGTTGTCTATACAAATCCTCCTTCATCTCTTGTTCTGCAATAAGTGTAGCCTTGTGCGAAGCATTGGATAATTGTAAACTTCCTTTCTTCATTCCGAGTGGAACCTTGCTGTCACCATCCGACCGGAGGAGACTGTTCCTCACTGGCATACTGCTCTGTCGCCTATTGGGAAAATTATGAAAGTCATTCTCTGCCTCAGTGTGTTTGTGGTTGTCGTCTGGTCACCCAGAAGACAAACGATTACTGACACTCCAGTCGATAGTTTTGAGAGATCACATTCATTCTATCTGATGAAGCAGATTCTCAGCAGTTGTATGCGGTTTCTTCACATTACTTCGATTACCTGAACAGATTCGCAAACTCGTACATCGGGCGTACATTTCACGTCCTCATTATAATTCCTGCTGTCATTAGGAGAAGGTAGATAGGCTGATTGACTTCCAGAAGGCTTTTAACAGCCAGACTCATTTCTCTTTACTGAATCCATCGAATACAGAGCTTTTTTCAAAATTTTGTGTATTTTCACACATTGTTGGTGCAATAAATATTACGCAGAAGTTTGATAGCTTTGCGATATAAAGTTGATAAAGTCACTCCAAAATTACATTCTCCAGACAGGCTAATCAAAGGCTAGAAAACTAGCACAGCATTAATACAGGTGAGGCTAGAAATCCTAGTCTGTCACTGCACACAAACACCCACATGTGTTTCTCTTGCCACTGACGATACTTTCTTGCTCGCTTACAGATCGGTGGATGAAAATAAACGACAACACCATGAGTAAGACAATATACTATTTTAAATATTTAAAATATTGTGCACTTTTGTGAGGGGAAGGAGGAGGAGTAGCCTAATTAAACTGCCATAACAATTTAGCAACAAAATTTGACTAACGAACAATACGAATGAGAAATTCATATCGAGGATTCAGTCAGAGGAGCAACTGAAATTCTAATCACGGGTGATTCTTCAAACATTGTGATGCTGGACACCATCTGGTGTTCATATGCCAGAGACATCAGTATTATTCATAATGATTTCGGAATGCCGCATTCGCAATACTTGAACAGTCACGACGCTTCCGATAGAGGAAGGAATAAGAAACACTCTATCAGGACACTTTCAATGAAAAGAAGATGGAGAAAACTTTGACGTCACTCGGCGAAATGTGATGGTTGTTCACGCAGAGCTACGTGGAGCGATGGCAGTCGGATCGTCCATCTCACAGGCATTAGGTGACATATTCATGGATTTTAGGCAGGAAAATGCACCTGAACCATTCATATCATCAATGAAATCTTGATAGAGGTGTGCAGATGACGCTTGGTAATAATAATGAGAATGACTGATACTGACAAATTCGTCCCACACACAAACAACAGTCATGTAGACTCAGTGTGGAGATTCACTATGGAAATAGAGGATGAAATTGAAGAACAACTTGTGCTAGCGAAGTGCAAAGTGTGACAGATGGCAGCATAAAATTGACGACGTTTCAACTTCAAGAAACCTGCACATTCCGAGAGATTCCGTGATTATCTATCACTCAGCTGATCCACTCAGAGCAAATCGACGGTTAATACAAGTTCTTGCAGACAGAATGCTCAGACTTTCAACAACAGTAGATAACCGAAGAGAAGAAATAGTTGTCTAACTGAAAGTGCTACTCGGAAGCAACAACTCAAAATAATTTATCCGAGATACCATGAAGATGCAAAGAAGGAGGTTGAGAACAGATAATGACAAGAAGGAAGATGGTGAAAACACGGCGACAATACCATACGAAATGGGTTTATCAGAGTCGGTGTTGGACGAATCCTGAGAATATTGGGATTCATACCACGTTTAACCTAATGAATCCAACTAACCAGAAACCAAATAAGTCAACTAAATGTTCCAAAAGAAATGATGGAATAAATTAGCAGTGTAATTTACAAAATGATATCGTGTTCGGATTAGACGTCTAGATCATCGTTGAATTTAAGAGCGAATGGACATATACGACTGACTGAGTGTTATCCAACAAGGAAACAAGTGTACAATAATTCAGAAGAAAATTCGTCCACAGCTGCACATGCAGAGAACGAAATCCACAACAATGATTGTGACGAGATTTGCATTCTGGAATCTAATATGAACAAATGAAAAGAGAGACTAATAACGACGGAGTCTGTATTACTCAGTGACGTCACGCTGGATACATGTGACAAGGTTGACTCGGCAGCACGACTGTCAGTGACCTGGAATATAATTCACGATACAGAAAACTTAGTGGACCGAATCTGGGCAGAGCACACACAAATGACTACAAATCACACATGTGTGAATTGAAGCAAATATCAAAACAACAACTCATCATTGTGTGTAAACTATCGACATACAACTACAATCAATTTGGTCTAATCCATAGTGCGCAGACGTTTAACTGACATGAAATAATATCACTTCACCAGCCGACACCCCGTTGAGGAAATCGGCACGTATCGAAGTCAAGAAGGTGCTTTCAAGTGTCAAACAGTTGTTTTCTCAATATCTTCTAAAGAATGTTGTGCGAAATTCGTTTCAATGTATTTCATACTGTACCTTCTGCGTAACTACACACAACAATTCTTTTGACAGAATACTTATTCCTTCTGAGAAATTCATCAACAGGTAAGCACATGTGCATTGAAATAATTTCACTTACCTGACTTCATAATCCCTGGAAGTGGAATTAGAGGAACCAGCACCACTGTGTTCACTTGCTTTTCCCCAACGTTTTCATGGACTTACTGTGTATCACGAATGCATTCTATCAATGAACACTAAGATTTAATTCTTGATTCGCCCATCAGTTAGTCAGTTGATTCGATATTATTCAGAATGTTTCGTGACTGCCTAACTACAGAAACACAGAGTTGCATCCACTTGAGAAGGTATTTGTCGGTGAAACTGTGCACTGAACTTCAGTCAATCATTGCGACAGAGATGAAGACGCATTCGCGAATAGTCCCTATCCAGACATTAGCGGAAATAAAAACAAGCACGTAGTTCAGGGAACAGTCTCCTTTCGGAGACGAATTGACTCACTTAGCCCTACAGTGGAATTATTATCACATAACTAGATAACGCATGTGCCGATATATTTGTGCATGCATCAGCTCAAATGTCACTGCAAATCACCTTCCGGCGGTTTCTCAACGTCACTAAAATCTTCATGACAAAAACGCAATAATACTTCCACTTCCTTTACAGATGAATGGAATGAACTGAATAGAATCGTATTTGAATGTGAGTGATTTGAAGTCTGGTTTAGAAATTTTCATCTAGTTATCTTCCTGATGTTCTATGATGACATTTCTGACTTTCGATGCTGCGCTTGTGTGGGTAATTGTATTTATTTCAGTGAAGAATTCGCCACGAACCTGATCAGTGGATGAGTCACTGAATGAAAATATCAAGAGGCAAATGATGGATTTCTCCTGATTTGAGACCCGCCTCAGACGACTGCAACAACAGCAACAATATCATCAATTGCACCAAGGATGGGACACGCCTCGTCCACGATGCTGCCACTTAGGCCGAATTCAGCAACCTCTTGAATTCGAAAATTCTTACTCATGGATGCGAGACTGTCAGCAATCAATGCCATAGATGAGCATGCAGATTTCTGATGTCGCTGGCGTTCACTGATTCAGTCTGAAAAATTGGTGTTGTTGCTTTTAAACAGCACTTCAGAGATAATAAGCAGTGACATTGTCATCTCACGGTGAAATACAATTCGTTCACGAAACGGGATATGGCAGATTTTCCAGATATCTCCTTGATTCCATTAAAGTAATCAACGCCTTCATCTAAGTCAATGTGCTATTTGTTTATTTTATTTCCACAGATATTCGAAAGAATAAGGCTTATGTTCCAAAAGGTAAGCAAGAAGCAACCGAATTCATTATCTACTCGCTCGAGTAGTGAAAGTGTCTCGATTACACTATCTACCATCTCAGTATTCAAGGATACCAATTCATTGAGACGACAACACACAAGGCGGAAATAGAAAGTGGAATACAGCTGAGCTGTAAGACATGTAATACTTCGGTTGGACACAGACTGATGTCATGCCAGTTATCCTTGGCGTTTTCTGCAGACTGAATTCTATCAGTCAAGTTTGCAATGTGGCCACCAACAAGCTGGGTGAATCTCCAGCACGTTGTACTCAGAATTCTTGTTATCAGATGGTTGTAGGCAATTGACAGGAGGCCCTTCTTGGCTGAGGGTTTCTTGCTTGTTGGCTGACACTAGTCAGCAATGCAGTCCTGCAGGATGTCATTCACGGTTTCGAATAGCTGACTGGCTCAGTGTCGACGTCTCTGACTGCAGGAGACATGAGATCCTTGAGGATCGTAGATGCACCTTGTTGACTGGTGATTGCCAACAAGTAGGAGACCTAGGTGAGTCAGGGCTTCCTTCAGATGAATCCATCAAAATATTTAATAATAAGAAATGTAATGGCAGACGGTTAATTCTGATTGGCGTTTGAATGAGGCGAACTATGGATAGTCAAATGTTCTTTCAGACAAATAACTCACGAACACGCTTCGAATTTAACCACACGAGTGTAGTTTACAGGGATGAGAATCAGTCGACACTAAGAAAGATTCAATTTGTGTTTGTTGAATCATAGGCTATACAGTTTCGTAAGGTGCTATCGTTCGGATAGGCAGAGACGTGTCTATCAGTTATTTGGAATGCTCGACACTTCAGTTTATGTAGTCATGAAAGAAGTTTACTGAGGCAGGCTGGTTGAAAGTAAAGGAAATATCGCAGTTTTACACGGTCTTCGCAATCAATGCTGACTGCTTCGATCAAATCTGTGAAGAATCATGCCTGTGAGTGCAACCGATGCCATCTGTCCTAGGTTCGTTCTCACTTATGTGAAACATTTCACGTCCCACGGCGATCAGATGTGATGTGCCATGATTGATTGACTGATCTCATCAAAACTCACACGTATCAGCCAAAATTTATATTTCAAAATATCATGCTATCATTTCATTCTACGTAACGTAAATTTCATGTCACCGCTTTCAATGGCCTCTGCCAAACACGTGACAGCTCCTCTCCAATTGCTTTCATTCTTTTCAGATGATCCGAATGCAAGAGAAAAACTTGCCAAAGCAGGTTTGTACACGTGGATTTTCTCCTTCTTCTTCTCCTTGTTCTGCTGCGTCAATGTTCATTATATCCTCCTGAATCTGTATTGTCTGTTAACATAACATGATCCACTTGTCAGTTCATCCACCAGTAGTTCATCGCCCAAACTGAGGATAACCCAGTCAGACTACTTATGTTAACTCAACACATTTCGATGGAGAGTGTGTTTGTGCCAGCGATTCACTGACAGTGTACACCTTCCCAGAGTCTCCACTTGTCAAATAGCCACGGGTTTTACATGGAATTAAGATCCAAATAACATAGATACGGAAGCATGCGATTCGGCCAGCTTTCTGTGTCAATGGAATGGAGAAGCAGATTTTCTGAAGGCTCTTTTACAAGGTAAAGATTCATTTGACGCTACACATCAAGAGAGTGATTGAATCCAATAGATGAATGGAAGTTTGTGTTGGCGTAATTTGTGATCTGGATAGGTTGTTAGGAAGGAGTCGATTGTCTCGCCAGGTAGGACATTCAGAGTCGACTTCGCAGTTGAACCGTCCAGCTGACAGTGAACTCAAATACTGCAATGTCATTCACCGGAGCGCAGAATTCAAGCAACATTCTCATTTGTTTCCTGGATAACTTTCATGTTGTGTATGAAGTATTCATTTGCAGGGACAAGACTGGCAACACGACTGATCACGAGTCGAGGACCATTGAAAAATAAGCATGGCGGACTACACAGCTGTTTCATCAGCCTAGTTTTCGGCTCATCGTCACTACACACATGCTCGCGTTGGACACCAGAATAATGTGATTACGAGACGAGCTAATAGACATTTAAGCAACTATGATCGGCATCAAGGCTCATGAAAAACAGCTTCTGTCATTTCAGAATGCTTATTGAGCACAGGCGCCAGCCAGTGTGACCAGAGTGTAACTATCCTCTTGTCTGACGTGGTGTACATCACTGTCAAAACTGGTTGTTGCACCACATGCGTGTCACGAGATGACGTGCGTTGGAATTCATGGAGCATTGGGTCAGGTGCCACTGGATTAGTGGTCTTCCAGCTTGCTTCATAACCGGAATGTGCTGGCTTCACACCTCTGCAGTGGATGTGTACTGCTGAATAGTACAAAACAGGGCTGTTGATATATCTATCCGCAGTCATTGTTGGTTCTGCAGTGCCTGTCTAACTGATGTGAACTCAAATTCACTCCTGCAACTTTCACAATACTGTGAAAAATCCAATACCAAACATTCCTATTAATTACTGCTCAATTTGTCTCCTCTTATCAACTGATGCAGATTTCCTGAACAAATTTATGAACAGTGAGCATCAATGTTTTATTACGTGATTTGTGATAGTTTGCATCTTTGAATATGAATATGTGGCCTGTAGAAGAGAGGGTGTCCACACACATGTAGACACGCGATGCATGTCACGACAACGCCGGTCATCTGAACAAGTGTTCGATTGACCATTCAACACGTCATCAAAGATAACATCAGTACTGATACTCACTCAGCAACTTCCCACTGAACATCACTCACTGCAATCACTCAGCGCCATAACTCAGAGGAATCTTCTTTCTAATAAAAAAAACTTCGACTCAGAATGTTTGCTTGGTCATCTTTTCCTGATAGAAAAGAAACGCGGCAGCCTGAAGCAAACGTCAGCAGAATTCATCTCACACTATCAGATTGTATTGCTTGTTGTCGAGATGAAATGCTGTCAATAGAAGGCGTAGAAGCATTCAGTGATTCGTTTCCATTATCGGAGAGAAACACCATGTGTAGTGCAGAGACGTGACACTCAATGAGTTGACGAATGCATGAATGAATGAATGAATGAATGGATGATTGATTGAATCGAGGAATAATGCACCTTGATAGAAATTCGAAATATATGAGGTACATCAACCAGGTAGTTTGAAAAGCTTGAGGGTGACAAGAAGCGATAGGGAAATATCTCAACTGTGGTTGTTAGGATCTACTGTAACACTGTGGCGTGCATCAAATATTCATCAACCTCATTCAACAGCTAGTCATGTCACAGGGGTATATATCAAATGATCTACAACGGAAAACTTCGTGAGGCGTCTGAAGTGAAGACAGCAGTAGGCTATTGGTGCTTGCCCACCATCACGGGTGACATTGCTGATTGCATCGGAGTCGATTGAGCATCCGATTTCATGGAGTGAGAAGGCAGTGATATGCTAGACCACCGATAAGAAGACTCAAGAAGATGCGTACTTCGCGGATGATTCATGCTGAATGTGATGGTGAATCCAAAGACTTACAGGCGAATGTCGACAAACTGGCAGAAGAGAAAGGGAGGCATGGACAGGACTTTACCGGGACCAACAGGCACCAATCACCATCAGCCAGAGTAATTTGGCTGGATTTACTCGCTTCACTCATCATATAGGAGGCGTCACTCGAACTGCAGGCAGACAGAATGCATGAAGGTGTGAATAGGAATGGCAAGACAATCCTCCGTTACTCTGGAATCAGTTTGCGAATCTCCTGCACTCACCTGGCACAAGGAACAAGTTGCAGACCCTCAACACGAATGTGTAGTCTGTCAATTCTTCTACATGGATCAGACACTTTCAGCCTGAGTCACACAGACCATTTCCAATAGACTAAATGTGAACTTTCTCAACAGCTGTCCTCTTCACTGGCTCCGTTCCGAAGACTATACGGCCAGCCTGAACGAATTAGTAGCAAGAAACCGTGAGAGGAAACCCACAAGTGAGAACTTATTTCTCAACAAATATTTCAAAGTGGATGAAGATGGATCAGACTCACTCTGGGAAGACTGTCGAATGACATCGTGTGGCAAGCCAAGACTCGTTTGGAACTGGGATTGGAAACGATGAGTGGAGAGTAATTCTTAGGAGTGACATGAAGCAGGAGCCGTGTGAGGAGGGGATTAGAGACTATTAAAAATTTTGTGACCGGATGAAGAGCAACAGAGAATATAGGACAGAATTCAGGTGTGCTGCTGAAGCCATTCGTTTCACTCGGAAGCCTAGAGAGCCATAGTAAACGCAATAATATAACAGCTTGCAAAGATAATGCTGTCTGCATTCAGGCACTCGACAGCACTAGGTGCGAAGAGAAATAAACAGACTTGAGGTTGAATCTAGTCTTCGCCAAGAGAAGCGTGTATCATCCAACTTCAAAGTGCGAAGAAACCGATCGAATTAAGACACTCTTCACTGTATTCAAGCAACCGAAGAGAAGGATTTGATATTATGATGTGGGATAGTCAAACCACCTATATGTGGCAAGACAGCTGATAGACTCGGTGGAAGGCGAAGCACCTAAATCAATGTCAAATATCCAGGCGAAATGGAACACGTGGGTCGGGGAAAAGACTTAGGACAATGCCGTGAAAATACTACATTATTGAGTGTAGGTTTGCAAATACTTGATTGGAACCATCACATTTACATATAGCTATTTCGTGTGTGAGTACATTAGCATTCTGAAACAAAAGTAGAGTTAAAGTTAGCTAGGTTTACTTTTCACGCCATCGAAATGTTTCTTAATTGTGACGAATAATGAGAATTGTAACTAGAGTGGTGACGATTGGTAATTGTTGACAAGGGTTTCGTAATGTGAAATAGGAAGTAAGTGGAGACATTTGTTCAAGAAATACATAATGTTATGAGTAAAAGGAGAAAATAAAGATTAGTGAAGAAGATGTTACTAAGATGCAATACGAAAAGGAAAACAAAACAAAGCCGTCGAACTTGGAATCATACCCATAGTGAAGGGAAAGTGTGGAGGCGTTTCTTCTGTGTGCATAAGTTAATGTTTTCTGTCCGAACCCCCTAAGCCTCAGCAATACAAAGTGTGCAGAAGCTTCATTTACACTTTCTACCCATGACATAATTTATTTTGTGAACATGTGTCTCCTTTAACATCCTACTTCATATTATGAAACCCCAGTCAACAATTACAAATCGTCACCACTCCAGTTACAATTCTCATTATTCGTCACAGTTAGGAAACATTTGGATGACGTGAACAGTAACCCCAACTAATTTTCACTATATTTTGGTTCGACAATCCTTATGTTCTCACACACAAAATGTTATATGTTAGTGCGATTGTACAGCCAAGGGAATGAATTCGTCGAAAAGAGACTCTACACTGAACTTCGTTGTTCTTATACTTCCAAGTAAGTCGAGAAATTAGTCACCTAAGTCTTCCTTATTAAAATAAATAATTTTGTCTGCATTTTCCCACTATCAGAATTCGGAGACGACTTGTCAGGCCTTGCAAGTGAGTGTGAATCATAATTTCTCTCACGATAGCTACCTTCAACCATGTGAATCAGTATGTTAACACCAATACTAAATCATTTCCTCATATTTGGCCAATAATTTCGTGGAAATAAAAAAACAAGGATCGCTTGCATCTTCCTCCTTTACTCCTTGTCAAAACAACTACCTTATTTTCCATGGTTTTGTGAAATTCCATAAGATACGAACAGCGCATATGCTTTCGCACAGTCGAAAACCACACTCACAATCATATTGTTGACTGGATAATGCCGCAGACGGTGTGTCCACAAATACAGAAATACGTTGTACCGATAAAAAGACGGTAGAAGATCTGGACTTCGTGGACGACTAACTTTTAGTGTTCTATGGACTCAAGGACTTCCAATTGTAAGCCAACAATTTGTAAGAAGAAGCAGGAAATACAGCACTTCCAGTGTAGATCCAGGTGGTGAAGGTAACTGAACAACAGGGAATTCTCTTCCGTTGCTTATTCAGGACATTGTCGCTTCAACTCTAGGCAGAACAAATGAGTATGTGAAGGACAGGACCAAAAATGGGAGACAGATTTTCAGATTTCATTGTGAAATCAGTGTGGAAAGCCGCCGCACTCAGAATAAGGAAAACGATTCAGATTTCCAACACTGATATCCAATCAGCGCGTAATTCTGTTTGAGGGACTTAGCACGTGTACCAACATAAGCATGTGTAACCGAATTCAGAGA